ACTCATTCGCAAATCAATTTAGTTTTCACGAGAGACTCGACTGAATCTCTCGTTCATGATATTCTACAACTGAACGTGCTGCACACAGGCCACCTCATGTTTCCGTTTACACGATAGTCGAGACATCGAAGTATACTTTCATAAAGAAAAGTACTCACAAGGTTGCTGGAAACTCTTTGAAAACTCACGACCGGTTTCGCCCCGAGTGCGCCTACCTGATGAGCCCCGAGAATGGGGAAACCGATTGTGGGTTGTCGAAGAATTTTCAACAAATTTGTGAGTAGTCCCTTTTATGAAAATAGACCGATAGGTATTTTTGGCCATTTTCACAAATCCGCTGTTGGTAGAAGAATTATGGGACAAAGTGTGAGCAGAATACGATGAAGACCTCATCTTCGAAATATCGGAAGTGTCACAGATTTTGGAAGGGTTCACTGCGACAAATTCACTTGGCGTGCAGTTGAGATGCAGAACATGAAACTACTAAGGGGATTCAGTAGTCGATAACGCAAGTGAAGATGGAGTGAGCTGATGTATGCAGAACTACACCGAGAAGACAACCTTCGTAACTAGCATCTCGCTCACCATGCGGATTGAAGGGAATCGAAAAACGCAGTAGGATGCGAGTAGCTGAGTTTTCCCCTACTCGGTATCATTCCTGACCCATAATTCTATATAATCGCCAATGGTATCAAATGGTTCGGACAGAGAAGAAGAGAAAATTGCCACCCAACTCCATGATTTTATTTTTATTTCAGGTCCTACTGCACCAAAGAAGCCGCATCCAAGTCCTACGCAGAAACAATACATGCGTTCACCCACGAGGATTTCTCTAAAGACACGCAGGATTCTATTCGACAACACTTTACTCTGAGTGGAAAATACTATGATCAAGGGTACTTTACAGTGCTGTACTACTTGCTGAATATTTGTCAATGTCTTAGGAACCGGGTAAGTACAAAATGATGAACTCTCGCAAAAATGTGCTGTTTAAATACAGAGAAATTCAGGTCCCTGTGGACCTCAAATCAGATACTACTGTGATGTCCGTCTACCCAAATTTTCCACGCTCGTGGGTAGAACCTGATTTTTATATCTAGGCAGCATTATCTTTGTCTACGTTAATCAGTTTTTGCAAGTTTTACTTGATAATATGTAGAGAGAGTTCGATTTCAACCCGGTAAAATTGGCATGAGGTCATAACAAACGATGCTCTTTTCTTCACACCGTAAACTGTCCAGTAACCAAATACCGGTTTCGACGGATTTAGCTGCGATTGTAGTTGGTCAGGCAATATGCCCGCAATGGCATTATGCAACAACCAAGAACTACTACTGCGTGTCTCTTTCCAGTAGAGGTGCTCGCTAAAACTACCAGTTCAGTAACTAGATGTCACGTGATATGCTGTGTGCAGTCCGGATAACACCGGACCAGACGCATTAGCTCCACGTGATCTCGCAAGCCCGTTGTCGATGACTCACCGTAGTCGGTCAAAGTGGTAAGTGAATGGACCCCTGTATAGGTCGAGCAATACGGCCAAACGTAGGACAGGGCTAGTCAAGAAATGACGAGGCGTCAGTCGATGAACTAGGTCCCTGTTGCTGATATGCTGATGAGATATTGTGTGGC